GTTCGTTTGAGTTGGTATATTATTTAACTTCTATAATAGCCTGAAACATAACTTAACATTAATCAATCCGTAGTTTCTTGTGTATTATGTTATGCTGTTCAATCAAAAACAAAATCGTCAACACAAAAGCGCCGCCGAAAAAATGGCCTTCTAATCTAAGCGAAGATAATTTCTTTTTTTAATTTAATGCTTTGTAATTTAATTTAACTGCTTTGTAATAATGTTATATATGTAGCCCATAGGATGTGACGGAGTTCTCTACTCAAGAAAGGCCTATGACCGTTGTGGTGTGTGTGATGGTGAGGGCGACACGTGTGAGGTCATCAGGGGCACATTCCAGGAAACTATATCCGCTTCCGGTAAATTATCACTTACGCCATTTTACTCTATGCCTTCTGTTCTTGAGCATCGGTTTATATGCTATGTTTATAATCACTTTCTTTTGCAAAATACAGTAAGATTTACATGGTAAGAAATATATACAAAATATGTACACGCGCTAAACCTGGAAGTGTATGTTTCTGGACTTTTTTCTTTATTTTCATTTTCTTAAAAATTTCAGGTTATACGTCCATTGTTCAGCTTCCTGTTGGCTCCAGGAAAATAAACATTATTCATCAGCGGACCAACGCAACATATCTCGGTGAGAAACGATTTCATGGATAGATTTATATTATAAATTGTTATCTTATAAAAATAATACATAAATAATGCAGTTTAAGTATATTTCATTTTGTAGCTAAAAGTCCATGTATAAATTCAATCACGCGTAATATAAAATAATAATTATAATTTTCAATAATAAGATATAAAAATTGGTTGAGATGATTTGAATCTTTAACAAGTGACAAAATATGTTTACTCTGATTGGTGGAAAGGGAAAAAACAATCAAATGTGACGTAATTATCCAACATGGCGGCAGAGAATTACGTCATAGTCACGTGATCGTCAAAACCGTACAAGAGCAGTATTAAAACAAGACAAATCACGTACTATCTGACCTTGTAAATGGTTTTTATTGTCCGAACAGTACCCGTGCAGTCGCAGCCTTTATACGGCTGAATTGATGCAGGGTATCACATAATATCACAACAATTACAACAATCAAATACTACACATGATACACATATTTGTTCCACAAATTTGTGGAACTGTCGCAAGGGTCTGTGCGGCTGCCATTTGGCAACCGAAGTCAGGTACCCATTCACACATGGGTGGAGTGAGGAAATTCGTGTGAAGTGCCTTTCCCAATGGCACAACGTCGGGGCGCATGTTCAGACATGTACCGGGTACGACTCGGAATCGAACCCGGGTCTCCCCGGTTCATATAGTCGTTTGCTCTAACCACCACTGGGCAAAATGGCCACGGATCCCGGCAGATACCGTCGCATCCGTCAAATCGATCCGTCACGGATGCGGAAGATTCCGAACAAATGCGAACAAATGCCAAATCCGTGAAGGATACGACAAAATACCTAACGGATGTGATACCGTATCCGCTCGGATAGCAGATACACTATGGATACGATGTTTTATATGCTCGAATCCCTAACTGTAAACGAATACGGATATATCATTTGCACGAATCCTTAAATAAAAACATTTGCAAGGATCGAGAGGAATAAACTTTTTCATTCACTCATTAAATTTTCTTATTAACATAGACAGGTTTGACAGTGCCCACTCTATCAAAAAAGTAAATTGGTGGTTATACGGATCCTATCAAATCCGCGTTCCGTATCTTCTACGAATCCGCTGGCCAAATGAACGACCAGGGATCCTATCAAATCCGCTATCGGTATCTTCTACGAATCCGCTAGCCAAATGAACGACCAGGGATTCTATAAAATCCGCTATCCGTATCTTTACGAATCCGCTAGCCAAATGAACGACCAGGGATCCTATCAAATCCGCTATCCGTATCTTCTACGGATCCGCTAGCGCAACCCACGACCAGGGATCCTATCAAATCCGCTATCCGTATCTTCTACGGATCCGCTAGCCAAATGAACGACCAGGGATCCTATCAAATCCGCTATCCGTATCTTTACGAATCCGCTAGCCAAATGAACGACCATAGATCCTATCAAATCCGCTATCCGTATCTTTACGAATCCGCTAGCCAAATGAACGACCAGGGATCCTATCAAATCCGCTATCCGTATCTTCTACGAATCCGCTAGCCAAATGAACGACCAGGGATCCTATCAAATCCGCTATCCGTATCTTTTACGAATCCGCTAGCCCAACCCACAACCAGGGATCCTATCAAATCCGCTATCCGTATTTTTACGGATCCGCTAGCCCAACCCACGACCAGGAATCCTATCAAATCCGCTATCCGTTTCTTCTACGGATCCGCGAGCCCAACCCACGACCAGGGATCCTATCAAATCCGCTATCCGTAGGCAAATTATGCCATAACATCACCAATTCACACACGACTTTTGATCAGGTATGTATCTCATTATTTGGAACGACTCAATTTTGTCAAGTGAGGCAAAAAAATCCTTCTGTACAAGAGTGGACCAGCAGATACGTTGTCGCATCTTTGGGGTATTTTTATGTATCCTTTAAGGATCTGGGATTTGTTCGGAATCTTCCTGTATCCGTGACTGTGTGCAGTTGACCAAAAATGCTCTTTTTGTCTCATTTATGCAAATTATGCCGTAACATCACCAATTCGCACACATGACATCGGGGGACATTGCGGCACCTGATAAAAGTCGTTTCGAGCGAAACGCTTGTCATTTTGCGAATTCCAATTTTTCAGCCAAAAATGCTTTTGTTCTGTCGTTTATGCAAATTATGCCGTAACATCACCAACTCGCACACATGGCATCAGGGGACATTGCGGCACCTGATAAAAGTCGTTTCGAGCGAAACGCTTGTCGTTTTGCGAATTCCAAATTTTCAGCCAAAAATGCTCTTTTCGTCTCGTTTATGCAAATTATGCCGTAACATCACCAATTCGCACACATGACATCGGGGGACATTGTGGCACCTGATAAAAGTTGTTTCGAGCGAAACGCTTGTCGTTTTGCGAATTCCAAATTTTCAGCCAAAAATGCTCTTTTCGTCTCATTTATGCAAATTATGCCGTAAACATCACCAATTCACACACGACTTTTAATCAGGTATGTATCTCATTATTTGGAACGACTCAATTTTGTCAAGTGAGGCAAAAAATCC